TTGAAACTAGGTTTGCTACGGTTACAATATTATATATATGACATAGGTAGACATTTTTTTAAACAAAGCTAAACTATATATTGTTATTTATCACAATATTCAGTTCTAATGCTCTGAGATCAATGTTTACTCACATGCTACTATGTAACAATGTGAAAAACTTAAATACTACTTAACCCTTAACTTGGCAAAAAAAATTCAATTACTGTTTTTTTTTTCAAATAATCTTGTTTTATATGACCACAGAATGCACGGAAAAATAATAAAAAAAATCATAGCATTTCACATTCAGAAATATATACTGTATCCCATGAGATACATTGCCATGTTTTTAAAGAATGACTATCTCAGGCGAATGCATCCCCCGAGGCACACTGCCAAAAAGACGTAATAATACAAATAATATATAAAATAATTATTTTTAATTAATAAAATCACATATTTATGTTTAATAAGAAATTACAAGTGGTGAAACATATAAAAACAATTTCTGCCAGGTACTAAGCATAATCTGACTCCACACTTAGTACAGGACACAGTGGTTTGACCTTTGGTACATACTTTGCATTTGCCTTTTGTACCAAAAGTCGCAAAATGACCAAGTTGATCACTGCGAATATCTGTCGATGGTCTTGGAGCAACCGGCGCCCTTATTATTTTTGATGGAGTTGGACCCTCTACATTGTCCTTATGTTTCGTGGTGGTTCTGTGAAATAATAGATAATAAATTTTTGGCAATGTTGTACCTGAATTTCTTCAAACTCATTGTTTTTTCACTGTCGATATTTCTCCGGTACAATATCCAACTATTTATAACACATATATCTAACGTTCGACATACTTTTTCTTGAAAACCATTATCGGCTATTTCTGCTCGATGACGGAATTGTTGTCTAGTCCATCGAAAATTGAGAGGTTGCACTCTTACTCGCGACAGCTGAGGTCGACGTACTATAACCAATCTTGGTCTGATTGCTCTGGAACGTATAGATGCTGGAGTCGCTGGAGACTGTGGTGCTGTCGGAGAGAGAGCCTGCTGTAGAGTCACTAACGTTGGAGTCAAATTTTGCGTAGTTGTTGGAGTGAGTGGAGACGCTAGCAAAGGTGATGCAGTAACCGCTTCTTGGACATCTACTATTTCATCATCAGATAGTAGGTTAAGATTTTCCATCGATGATGGCAGTGAAGGCACTGGTGATGATTCTTCGTCTACCCTATGTCGAACTGGAATCTGCCGGGTTTCATTTTCAGACTCCGTAGATGAATCGTCCGATGATTTTCTGCCCGATTTTGGGATAAGAGCACAAAGCTTTCTACCTCGCGTGAAGGATGGCTGCACTCCGCCCTAAGAAAAACAAGCTTATTTAACCCATCATGCAAAGCAAAAATCAAAACGAGCACACATGCTATAAAACCAAAAACCAACAATCAGATTTCAAAGAAGGGAGCATCGAGTATACCTGCCAAAACCAAAAGCACGTATATGTACAACTACAAACCATGCCATGCTGTTATAAAAAAAAAATATAAAAAATAATTTTATTCCGACCGGGAATCGAACCCAATACCTTTTTTGTAATATTTTAATACCATTACCACTATGCCATCATCAAAGTAATTAATGCAAAACAATAAACATAAAACATCACAAACGTGGCAGTGTGCACTACACGATACAATACACCAAAATGTAAAAAACCAGTAAACATGGCAGTGTGCACTACGAGATACATAATAGTTTAGCTCCAGTTTACTAAACCAAATATACAGTTTCGCATCAAAATTCACTCAATTGGCACGTATAAACTAATATCCTTTACCGTGACATGCACAATTAACACATTATTGCCTAAAAACAATATAAAATATTGATTTTCTTACCTTTTTCGGCGGGATCGCTTTGAGTCGGTTCATTATTTTGAATATGAATGAAAAACGGTTATGTCAAACTGACATGACATGACGTAAAAACGTTAAGAAATAGTTGCTTTTTTAACAGTAATAACGTTCCGTTTCATGTAATAATATTTTTCGTAGAGAGATTTTTCAAAGTCGACTGTATCTCACAGTGCACTCCACGCCAAAATCAGTGCACTCCACGCCAAAATCAGCGTAGAGATTAGAATTGGGGGTACAATAGGCCCTATTACATAGGGCTTGTAACTGAAAGGAACTCGATGATTGATAGCAGTTTTAAGACATTTCAGAGCCATGCTCATGAATGAGCCGGCATGAATATGTGATATCACGGCCAATCAAAATACCGACGTGAAACAACGCTGGCGTTGTGTTATCTAAACATAGAAAGTATTTTAAATCTATGCGAATACCGAGGGTTCATCTGTACTGTGCACTTTATTATCTTGCCTAGATTTAGTCTAAATTAATCGAAATTTTCTGTGTTACAAATGAGATAGACATAGAGAGATAGTCTTTACTTGAAACAACTAAAGCAATAGGCAGCCTGGTTACATTTGGCATAAAAAGTTCAGATTGTTAGGAATTGCTTCTGCCTGGTTTCTAGTCTATCAAATGTATTATTTTCTTCTTTATATATATGTATTTGATAAGCCGACGTTTGACCACTATATCGTCTGGTGGTAAGTGATGGAGCACGTGGTCCTATAGGCGACCTATTCTAACGGGTAACCGGGGCTCCGGCTCGACGTGCAGGAGAAGGAACGGGGTGGTTTTTAGTCAGTAAGAGTCTGACACTCCCTTCCGCCTCACCCAGGCGGGAGCAGTCATTCGATGATTTTCCCCCCTTAAAAAAAAAATAAAAAAAAAATAGGCGACCTATTCACTCGGGCCTTGAATCACTTTCTTTTCTATCAAATAATGCATTGACTACACAAAAGCTGACTAAGTTACAACTAGTCACTTAATCATCTCTAATGATACTCGTGGGAAGGGTCAGGGGCTACGGGCACATGTCCGTTACAACCTCCATAAACCGGTGTAAGCCAGGAGCCGAAGGAATAAAGTCTGGCGCGGCCCAGGTATATGACCAACTGTCTTGGATCCCGCTACGAAACCAATCAGGTTATCTTTAGAGGAGACGAGAATAAAAGGTTTTCATTTCCCACAGCCTGGGTGTGACCACAGGACACTTTCAATGATAGGCGAGAATGCAATCGACGCATTCTCTGCCGTCATTGGTCGAGATTTTTCTAACAACCAATGATATGACAGATCGCGATCGAATTCACTTCGAAAGTGTACAATAACCTCGAATAACCTAGTATATACTGTGTTTATAGTCTTAAAAGCTTACAAAGGCGTGGTCTACTACACAACACGCCGAGATCTCAACATCTCTGTGCATAATAACATAACATCACGCCTTTTATCCCCCAAGGGCTGGACATTACGGCGCTTAATGCCACTGCACAATGTAACACCCACTTTTCACTATTTATGTTATGAGTCCCATGTAATAGAGGGTGAGCCTATTGCCATATACCGGCCGCAATTCTGGACTCCGTGCTACTACTGAAATATTTTTTTTTAAAACTCAGTAATAGATACTTTGCTCGACCCGTAAATCGAACTCGAGACCCCTTACCCGGCAGTCGTAGTTGCGACCACTCGGCCAATGAGGCAGTCTCTCTATACCTACAATTTTTGTCAAAAATAAATATATAAAAAGGTTAGCACAAGCGTCATCAAATCAGAATAAATTAAAATGTAACAACACCTTCCTTGTTATTATAAACGAATCGAATGATATATAAATTATTCTAATATTTTATAAAAAGTAATCACGTCACGACACAGTCTGAACATTAATGTAACCAGTTTTAGAAGATTGATTTATGCGTACTTACATCTTAAACATCCCTACAAATAGTATTACGTGCGGCGTCGCTCGTGTTCATAAATCTTATTATATTATACAAAGTACGTTTAAAAAACCGACTCCAACCCCCTCTTTTTTATGTCAGTTAACCCGTTGAAATCCCCCAAATTTGTTCATACAAAAGTAATCTCTAAACATAGGATATAAGGTCTATAATGTAGTTAGTGGAGAGCGGTCACCGGTGACCGCTTGGGGATGTGTGGTATGGTATGGTATTAATATAAAAAACTAAAACCTTCTGAAAACTGTACTAAAATCGGTGCAGCCTATCTCGAGATCAACGCGCACAAACATACAGAGATACGTCAAACTGAGAACTTCCTTTATTTCTTTTTGAAGTCGGTTAAAAATATATAAGTTTGTAAGGATGCATCGGTTTATGAATGTTTCTATCTCACTCTATTTAAATACAGTTTCCGAGTTACAAAAAAAAAGAGTAACGAATGAAGTTTCTTGCTCGTTCTTCTCCATTCGAATCTACATTTTGGAATGAGCACCTAGCTTCACCTAGCTTCACCGACGGACTGACTGACAGACAGATTTATTTTGTATTTGTTGACGTTTCAAAAATACCAAATTATGGTTTGAAATAAATGCTTTGACTTTTTTTATTAGAAAAGGAAAGAAGCGCAGAAGAAAATGATGAAGCCGAGAAGATATATAATCTGTGTGGTTTACTTACTAATATTTCACTTCGATCATAGCTTAAGTTGACCTAGGGGTTGCTTCCCTCATGTAAAATGTATGCATCTATAACTGTACCAAGATACATCCTAATCGAGTCATCAGTTTACACTCAAAATCACAACAAACAAACAAACACAACAATCTTAATATCAGCATTAGTAAACATACCAAAAAGATAAGGAAAAAGCGGCAGAAAATACAGCAGCTAAGGGAATACAATAACCCTGTTGATAAAACTGGTTTCTCTTAAAACATAACTACACAAATATCTACATATCTAGATTAGATTCAGAGTATAAAATAAGCGGGTCCAACTGGATCAACACAGAACACATCTTCAGTTCAACACAATCGTTTCAAAATGGCCGCTATTAAGACCACTTTTCTCCTTGTCCTCATCGCTTTCGTGATGCTGGTTTCCATTGGAGCTGTTCATGTGGGACCTTGTGACCAGGTCTGCTCCCGTATCGACCCTGAGAAGGACGAGTGCTGCAGAGCTCATGGATACCGCGGCCACAGCAGTTGTTACTACGGTAGAATGGAGTGTTACTGATCTTTGAACTACAGAGGGATTCATCAATAGCTCATCTTATAAAGGTATCAAAGACTGGCTATTTTAATAGTGGTTTCTTCCGTCTAAAGCTGTGATGTGAATTCTGTATCGTATTTGAGTCTGTACCGGCTGACCCTTGACTGTATTTACTTTTCCGATTAAATGTATTATTGTGTGTATTTTTTCGTTTTATTTTCTGTGTATTACTGGGTTTTAAAAAATCTCAGTAGTAGCATGGAGTCTGGAAATGTGCCCGGTATACGGCAATAGGCTCACCCCCTATTACATGGTACTCATAACATAAATAGTGAAAAGTGAGTGTTACATTATACAGTGGCAATAAGTGCCGAAATGTGCACCTCCTATCCCTTCGGGGATAAAAAGGCGTGATGTTATGTTATGTTATTTTCTGTGTTTCTTTATAATTTTCTGTGAGTTAAAGTCAAAGTCAAAATCATTTATTTCAATTAGACTAGGAAGGAACTTTTGAACGTCAACAGTAAAAAAGTGAGTAAACAGTGAACACATAGGTATTCAAAATGTCAAGCACGAATAACTATCGCATTCGTAACGTAATAATCGTCCGGCGCTTTGATTGGCCGGCTCCAGAGAACCAACCAATCACAGCGCAGCAGAACCTAAGCCCTGGATACTATCCTACTAATATTATAAATACGTATATTTATTTGGTTGTTGGTTACTTCTTCGCGTTAAAACGCCTAAAGGTTGCTTATTTTTTTTTATAATTGATGGTAGCTTATGGTCTGAAGTAACACATAGGCCATTTAAAAGCGGGCGTAGCCGCTCGCAGAAGCTAATACATAGGTACATACTGTATGGTACTTTTTTAAAATATTTGATGGGCGATTCGACGTTTGACCACTATCTCACCTGCAGCTGTAGCCAAATGCCATTTAGCGCGTGTCTACATGTAGAATAGAAAACCAAATTATATGGGATTGACGTAAATTTTGACACTTGTCAGTGTCATCCCCATACATTTAGTTTTCTACTCTCTCTGTAGACAAGCGATAAAGTGGCGATTGGCTAAAGGCACTGGTAAGCCATGATGCGGTCTGAAGCATGTTGACCCGTACTGTACTTTATTACAAGTACCTTGTTTGTTGGATTTTTTTAACAAATTCGTGTACTTACCTTCTAATTCTTATCAGTAATTTCGTTTCATAAATATGTATAGTGTCAGAATGCCAAAAGGCTTCTCAATAGACAGCTAACCTTCTTGTTTTCAAATAAATCGTGAGACATACTAAATTAACTAAAAATTGCGGGTTACTCACGTGGATATACTGAGAAAAGTTCTACTAGTTTCGAACTACAGAGGGGTTTTTTCTCGTGAGCAGCGTGCGGGGTCGTAACCGGCGATTTTTAGTTAAGCTAACCTTCTTTCTGTTGAGATAGTTAAAAGATGACATTACTTAGATGACCACAGATAACTGACAATTTACATTTGTCAAAATCCACCCGTGGTAACCATCGCGTGTTAATCCCAAAAAAAATCAAAACAAATTAAAATTACAAGTGTATTTTAATTTTAATCACATCACTATATCTCTTCGGATCGTCCACAAAACATTTTCATGAAAATAATACACAAAATTGGTGGTAAATACTTACAAAATTAGTAAAACGAGGTTGAAATATTCGCACAATAGAAAAATAAGCTTCGTTTTAATGTTTTCAAAGGAACCAAGCACAAATACAGAAGAGAAGAAGAGAAAGAAATCTAAAAGTGACCGCATGTGTTTTATTACATTCCTACCACTTCTTATAAGTCCACTTATATCTTGCATCCCTTGTTGCTACTGTTGCACCAACTGGGCCATACCAGAGGAGTTACCATATGAAAAAAGCAACACGGACGAAATCGACACGAAAATTAAAGAGTAAAAACTAAGCTCAAAAATAAACAAGCAAAAATAAAACTAAGCTTGTATATCGAGCCCGGTTTTAAACACCCTATGTGTTGTATTAACCCTATACCTTTATTTCCTTTGATCCTTGTACCCATAGTTGCATGCTTTCCTGTACTATGCCCATGTTGTATCTCATACTGCGAAAACAGTGATGAAAAGGAGACTGATACTATAAATAATGAAGTTATATGCAAATGCCAACCCGTGGCTTAGTTTTCAAATTGGCTTTTGAATATAGTAAAGAAAAGTCCACGATATAATTACCCGTTGAACAGAGCTAAGCATAAATATTCCCAATATAGCCTCTTACAAAGAAACTATTAATGATGTTGTCTAGCTTACAATTTACATGTTCATTAAATATGTTTCAAATTGATTTGAGTTTTACTGATTTTACAATATCATAACATAACATAACAGAGGCGCACATTATGCCCCTGTACAATGTAACACCCACTTTTCACTATTTATGTTATGAATCCCATGTAATAGGGGGTGAGCCGTGAGCCTATTGCTATATACCGGGCACAATTCCAGACTCCGTGCTACTACTTAGATTTAAAAAAAAAACCCCAGTAAAACTTTGTCCGACCCGGGAATCCAACCCGAGACCCGTTGCCTGGCAGTCGCACTTGCAACGACTCGACCAACGAGGCAGTCATTTTTAACCGACTTCAAAAAAGGAGGAGGTAACAATATCATGTGATGATTTATCAAAGATTTAATTAATAGGTACATACACAGAAGTTGAAACTGATTAATAGGAGCGTCGGCGACAACCATCGACACGTGTCGGCGGCAACCGCTGACGCGTCGACAGCAGCAGTCGACCTATAGCAATACTTGCAGTTCTTGCAGCATTCTTCGAAGTTTAAATGTCGGCGGTTGCCGTCGATGTGTGTCGATGGTAGCAGTTGCCGTCGGCTGCTCATGTGCGAGAACTCTTAGACTTAATAGTAGCTCAAAATACTAGTTAGAGAATGGCCAACAGAAAAATCAAGATAAATTAAGTTATACTACCAGAGCTATTATAGTATAACCTCCTCTCCCAACCAACTAACCTTCTGTAATATTTATAGAGCTGGCTCCATCTCTATGCTTAATTAAAAATAGCAAAGTCATAAACGAAACTGTCACGTTGATAACAAAATTATACGAATTTGTAAAATTAGAAGTGAAATTAATTATAAAATTAAATGCCTCCATACTGGTGGGTACCTGTCTTATGCATATGCCCCTGGATCATTTGCATACCACTCTGCTGCCCAAGCTGCATTTCTATCCTGCCGTGTTTGTACATTTTCTCGTTCCCAAACGATAATCAAAAGGAATCGGAGGCAAATCTAATAAAAAAGAGGAGGAAATAACAAGTTTACCTTATTTTAAAATACTCGTAAATAATCTGAGTAACGTAAAAAGTAAGCTCACCCTCTCAGTACTGAGTAAGTTATTAAAAAACAAAATGGCAATAAATATGAGTTTGAAAATTAAATATAGATGTGTTGTATAATTCTGCCAATACTCATAAGCCCATTTGTTTCGTGCTGTCCTTGTCTGGATTGTTGCTTTAATTTGGTTATGGATGATAATTTATAAAATTGGGAGATACAAGCATGAATTACTAAGCTCAAAGTAAGATATAACTAGAACAGAACTCGAAGAAATTATCATTCATTCGTATTTAGCCCTGGATTATTTTTACACAACTTTACCACTCAAGCTGTATGACTAAGTGACTGTCTTAGCATACCTACTATTTCTTCAATAGTAATACTGAGCTGGAATCAGAAGATAAATATAAACAACGTGTCCATAATATCAGAAAATACTTGAACAATGTCTAGTGAATGAAACGAGTTACGTAAATACTAAGCTCAGTTTTTTGATGAGTAAACAAAAATTTCACCTACAATTAAATAATATTATAAGAAAGATGTGTTTTATAATTCTACCGTTACTGGTAAGCCCGTTTGTTGGGGTTGGTGTTTTAGTTTGGTACTGGAAATTTAAAAGGAGGAGGTCAAAGTAAGCACAAATTGTAAGCTCAGAAATAAATACGTGTAAAACGAAGCTCAAAATGTAATATTAAATGTTTTGTAAAAAAATATGTAAGTTTTGAATAAAGTAAATGCCTATGTGTTTACTTTGTTATTGTATTGTAAATATTATATAAAGTGTCTTTAAATTTAAAAAATCCTTAATGTTCCTAATAAAAGTAGTTTAAATGATCTTGGTGTGTTTTATTTGTGTGATGTGCTATATAACAAATCTTAATAGTTAAATAACATGTATGTCTATCTTCATGTCTTAAAACCTGAGGTCCCAAATTGCTTTCATGAATTTAACCCTTTCGAGTACCGTCATTATAGACAATTAAAGAACAATAGATTGCGGTCACCGGTGTTTAATATAAAAATCATGTCGCGGAGAACCTAACGGGTAACCGGGGCTCCGGCTCGACGTGCAGGAGAAGGAACAGGGTGGTTTTCTACTCAGTAAGAGTCTGACACTCCCTTCCGCCTCACCCAGGCGGGAGCAGTCATTCGATAATTCCCCCCCCCCCTTAAAAAAAAAAAAAAAAAATCATGTGGATAATTATCAAATGGCAATGTGGGTGTTTAACTACGAGCCAAAAAAATGTACCTACCGCATATTTAACTGCACTAAAGTTTCCTCACATGGTTTTTCCGATAGTAAACAAAAAGTTACAAAAACGATAGGTTTATCCTCATAGATACATGTATCTAGCTGAAAGTGCAGTAGCTGCACTCTCGATGCACCCGATCGTTATCGTTGACGTCCCGATAACGCACACGTTGCGTTTGTCTTCACGCCCGCATTGTAGTTACAGTCTCCGGATTCGCTCCGTTTGTGTAAATTAGAATAACCTGTTCATCAGTAGTCATCTAATAGAATGCATTTATGTCAGCTTGGAGTTGTCATGTACACTCAAAGATCTCATTGGCGGTGGCACGTGCATTGGGTCGCTAGATTCCCTGCAATATGGTCGAGTTGGGCGGTGCTGGTGTACGTGTCATGTTCGTGAACGGGCGCCGTCTACTGTGACTGGTCAGCTCCAGACTGTATTATTTATTGTCTTTAAGGGTTATTTTCTTTTTCGATCTCTTTGGCTAGATTTGGTGTTACATAGTTCTCGCACAATCAAACCAATAAAACTGTGTAACTGAAGAATTGTATTGTGAAACTGATTGGAAAGGAGTAACCTATGGAGTTTCTTGCTCGTTC